GACAATCTGTGGGAACCTTTCAGGACAGACATGCTTCCGAGGAGGGTGTAGGCGACTTATCGGAGATCGTCCCCCGCCTTGGCTCAGTACGTCTAATCAAAGCTCTACGCGTTCATTAGATCTGGAACTATTCGTAGACTCTTTACGTGTGCCCTTCAATAGGACCAGAATCTCTAACGGTCCTACAGAAAGAGACCAATTAGTCTCTATAGTCTATATCGCGCGCCGATCTGTCCTTAAGAGGAAAAAACCGAACGGGTCTTGCTATGAAACCTCGTCCAAAAGTCATACACAAAAGCTCATTCGCCTGTAAGCGTTTCGTTCTAAATATGTCGATAGTTGCTGGGCGTGGTGAACATGACCTTCGACACTTCTATAGTTAGCAGTAAGAAATTGAAATTTGACATAAAGGATAGGACCCCTTTTTAAGCTCATCGTTCCGGTCTTTTTGGAATGCACCTCAGCATTCGCCTCGGCATTGTTAATTGAGGGGACGTAAAGGAAGGAACCGGTTTCGCAGATTACCTACCGAGACACCTTACCTCTCACGCGACTAATTAACCCAAAGGGAANTTCCGGTCTTTTTGGAATGTACCTCAGCATTCGACTCAGCATTGTTAATTGAGGGGAAGTCAAGGAGGGAACCGGTTTTGCAGATTACCTACCGAGACACCTTACCTCTCACGCGACTAATTAACCCAAAGGGAAAGAAAGCTTGGTTGAATAAAGCGAATATCAATCCATTTGATATTAATCCAATTTGATCCCCAGACTATGTATGCGATAATGGGCCACTTGCCATTACACCACATTCGTCCTAAAGAACTTCATATCAGGACTTCTTTGGATCAGGAAGGACTGGATGAAGTCAAGCGCTATTGCGACCAAACTGGTTTGAAACATGCGCAAAAGCCGGAGATCGTTTGAAAAAGTGCTCTTCATTTCTCCGAGCCCGTAATTCTTCAGTGCAATCCCGCAGTTATTTTCCAATTGTCCCTGGCAGGCATAGCCTATCTCTCCTGTTCAGACTTCGTACCAACTGTCTTTTTTGAGTCAGTTTAGAGCGTCTCTGATCTCCGTATATTTGAAACTCCTGAAACCATCTGAGATGTTCATCCGAGATTTTTTATCATTATTCCAATTACCTTAGATTGTTAAAGCAACTGTTTAAATTCGAGCTAGCCTCTCTCAGCGATCCTATCAAAGTGGAGGAATTTTGTAACTCAGCCCTCGTCGAGAAATTCCCGACAAAAGTTGGTACTCGTCTCGTAAGAGAGTGGAACTCGTAGTTTCATATTTGGTAGTCGTCTGGTTTGGCGAACTGCAGGAAAGCTAAAGAAAAATTCTAAAAATGACAGGAAAGTGAAAATAGTGAAAAGTGAAGTGAAGAGGCGAGTTTGGAAGGAATGAGATTATGCTAAGAGGGTCCTATTGGAAATGAGACGCTTCCTCACCCTGAACGTGTTGTAGTAGGAAGTTTCCTCACCCTGATCGTATTGTAGAGGTAAATTCTGTTGAGGTCAGTTCGAGGAAGAGAATGTTATTGGTGTTTGAATGACTGAGTCGAATGTGCTGCTGAGAAGCAATGAAGATGTTTTCACCTAGCCTAGGTTATGGGAACTCACGTGGGACTGTGGTAGAAGGTGAGATTCTTTTCTCTTAGATGTCACGCCTTTCTGATCAGTTCAATCGCAGACTCGAGATTTCCGGATAAATCTGTTTAGGCCCTCGGACTCGATACTTTTGATGTGGGGTGACGTTTGAAAAGGAGGCTTTTCAATCATTTTTATCGAGTTCATCAATGCTTTTGGTTTTCAATACACGATTGAGATGGCTCCAAAGTATTGTCCAGTCTATCAAAGTTATCGTGAGCCGGGCATGTCTGCCTGTAGAGAGAGGTCCTACAGGGTAGTCTCAGGTAAGTGCCTGAAGAGAATAGTAAGATGTATATGATGAAGTATAAACGTTCTACAGTGATAGTGTGAAGCTCACATTAATACTTCAATTAAGACGTATTTGAATAGTTAAAAAATGGACTCATAAAACTCAGACTCGAAACTCGTGCTCATAAAATTGACTATCCGAATCTCTCTAGTTGTTGCACGTGAAGCCAAAATTTTTTCAACAACAGACTTTGCCACTCTGACCGCTAGACCGTTTGTGGGAAAGATTCCGATTCGTATGACCACTCATTGAAAATTTAGAAAACATTTTTTCCTACACAAATTCTAGACCCTATCGAATTTTTAGAATTCTACGGATCTTGAACCCCTCCTTTTGTCAGCACCAGTGGCCGTTCCCGAATTCGGTCAAGAACTAAATTAGTTTAGTTTAACTTGCATTTGCGGTTTTTCTTCCTTGCTGTTCAGATCTTTCAACATTCCTTCTGACGGGTCATTCAAAAAACTCTCTCCTTCAATCGGATCGCTCCAATGTTCATCCGAACTGGCTTTCAGCCATCAATTGTTCTTGCGAGCGGTCTCGTTCTATTTGAGAAGTGTGAAAATTTTTCTCTCAGATTTCTGGGCCAATGTTTATTGAGAAAAAGATTGCAAGTAAAGCTTTTATTTTTTTTTATTGCAACTATCTAAGTAATTATAGAGTAAGCACTGTACAGCTCTGATCTGGCATTTATTTTTTCATTCATATATCCAACTACTTTCGTAGTTTGAACAACTGTGTTGTTGGGCTGGATTTTCCCTAATGGTAAGAAGGATTGCACCCAAGCGAAGGTGCTGAAAATCAAGACTCAAGATATGACGGAAATGTTCGGGAGTTTTGTTACCACTTCGTTGCTCACCCTACCCAGTTCCTTAGAATTTCAAGCGTATGATACCTTTGCCTTTTCTCGATTCATGTTTTCATGATTCGGGTACTAAAGTGGCCATTACTGTGACTACCTCACTTTCAGCTTGGCCCGGAGCTTTTCAGCTTTTCAGAGCAGTCTTTGAGCGGTTTCTCATCCGGGATGATTACCACCGCTTTGTTACTGATGGCGCTGCTACAACCAACTCACTGTGAACTGATCTTCGTACTTGCTCTTTGGACGACTGGTGAAAGAGGGCTGAACGAAGCACCGTATCCAAACGATTTGAACGATCCAGACGATTGGTCAAGAGGCGAGAAACTTCTCACTGAGGTGTGTTCTTGGGCGACCTCTTGAGTAGCCCTATGGGAACAAATAACTTCTCAATCAATTTGCAGATTGGCTTGAAAAGGATGTTTGAACTTGGAAAATGGCTGAGACAACGTTACATGATCGATATGCCATTGTTATCGAAGACCTACAGTATTCATGAGGTATGCCTGATCGTCTTCAGTCGAGGAGTACTTTGAAAAGCAATTTCTTTTGTTTATTTTTGCGTTCTTTTCCTTCTTTTCTAGCTTTCGCTGTGTGTGTTTACTTTGGTTTATCTGTTTCTGCTTTTTCCCTCCTTTTCAGTGCTGTGAACATAATTTAGCAGCTTTTTATTTCAGCTTATTGTGCAGAGCGCTGGTGCTCCCCATACAATCGAAAGTGCGCAGGCTGTTGTAGCAGGACTTTACCCAGATGAAGGTAAACTATGAGTGAGCTTATGTGCACTTTCAGCACGGTGATGTACAGTAAATGATCGAAGAAACCTTCTCAGCACATGAATTGAAAGTTACTTCGAAAAGATATTCAGCTTATAACAAGTCAACTGCAGTCCGGAATATGGGAGCATTTAATATTTCTCTAGGGAACGGTGGATGGTCAAACTATTCATTAGGATCTTGGCAACCGACGCCAGTTTTCACCGTTTCACCGTGGACACCTGATCCGGTACGTTACAGTATGAAGACTGTTCAGCGGATGAAGTTTCCAAAGCCTGTCAACCCTGTCAATGCGGAACTTTCCGCTTTCAACCTTACAGGCCTTCCAATGACTTAGTCAATTTCTTTAAGACCCAATGCACAAACCAATCCAGACGGTAAGAAATCAGGAGTTGTTAGCCACTCATATGCCTTCCACGTACTTCGTCCACTTTCTCAACCTATTTCGAATACCTTCCGATGTTGGAAATGGTGTCAGACCTGTCTAGCAGGATGAGAGCACTGAATTGGACTTTGGTTGGTAATTGCAAGCCGGCAACATTGTGTAGGCCCCATGCGCATTCAAAACATCACTAGGATTCCGAATGAGAACCGAATGCAGGGCGCATCCTAAGACGGGACTGATCAACTCCAAAGGCGGTCCTTATACCTATCATCGCCTATTTCATATTCCCTACCTCTGGTCAAAGAAAGAGCCCATCAATTTTGCTAAACAAAAGAATTAGAATTTTTCAGCACCTTCTGCAACCCAGCTATCCATGCCCAGCTTATCGTCAGTTGATTGACGAGGAGAACAAGAACTACTACGAACGATTCGATGAAGAAAGCAAGGGGTGGTACAAAGTGCTAGAGGGCCACACCGGTATCATCCCAGTCAATCGCGACGCCATTTTTAAGCTTCATGGAATTCATCACGAGGTATTTGAACTGCTTACTGTACGAAAGTAATCTTTTCTGGCATTTACTACGTTAGGTTACTATTCTCTTGAGTTCAGACAATTGAGGAAAATGGGAGAAAATTACATATGGTATAGATGATGGTATTTACGATTTTACAGAATAATGATTGCTTGAACTGTACTTACTACTACTTTTTTTGTCAAATTTTTCATTATCATAAAAAAAACTCAACGAGTGATGGATATTGTAAACTATTCTAATCAACTCCAAGTAGAAAAATCCTAGAGCGGTTGTCTGTTGTACTTATGGTTCGGCTTATTCTCAAGTTTTCGCATCCTTGTGATTCAAGATTGATAACAGCAGTGTGGTTCAGATCGCCCATGGACAGCCACAACCCGATTGGATAAATGAGGTCCACAACGGGACTACAGCGGTCGAATGGTTAAGGGATGCCCACGAAAAACTGGTGCATGCTTTGTTCAACTCGAAATCCAAAGCCCGATTAACGTAAGTCCAAAACTTTCCACAAACATACCCTACTACTTCCTACTTTAAATGGTAAGATCGTGAAGAAATGAACAGTAATTGAAAGTGGGTGAAGTAACTCAATAACGTCCCTATTCTAGTTGATTACTCCAAGGTAGCTGCCCACGTAGCGTTGTGGGCTTCGGACGAGACTTAAACTCCACGTAGTTGGAGGTCGTGGCGCGGACTCCCGTTCTGCTTGGAACAGAATATGCTTATACTAGGCGGACTCTTATTCATAACCTTCTCAAAACGTCCACAATTACATCGGTAATGTACCAGAATTCTTCACATTTTTTTAGCGCTGGAGTTTTGTTGAATGATTGGATTGAGGCGCTCATTGGGATCTCGTATCATACGCTAGAAGCCAAAAGAGCAATCTTTTCATCATCGGTTAGTGTTTTTTAAGACCTTGGTTCTTTCTTCCCCAAAACAGATGAATCTCCTCTTACTTCGAGACCCTCAGACAATTGTCTACTCGCATGCCAGATCTTGTCCGCACTTACTGATTCCCATAAATTCCTTAAATAACGTTTCAGGGTATACCTTCCTTGCTGGCGATGAGATATGCCATGGGCATTGCCGATCAGGAAGTACCAGGGTATGGATCATTGTTACTTTTAGAACTACATAGGCCGAACGGATGGAACCTGTTTGTGAAGGTAGGCGAATAAAAGTTCTACTCAAATTTTTCCGACCCCATTGCTTTTCTCAGTAGAAGAAGTTCGGTGCTCAATAGCGACGCTACCCCATGTTTGATTCGTGAATGAGATTGGTGAGGACGCCAAGACCTTGCCGTCAATTGATACAGAGTTTGTCTGGAAGGGCCAAAGCGTTGGCCTGTCGGCTTCTTTGTTTATACCAGTAAAAGCACATTGATATTCTACGTGTACTATCCACATCCGTTAAAACTTTTTTGGGATTCATGGTCAGGAAGGTTGGAACATCCGAAGAAAGGTAGAGGATAAAGACTTTGGGCATTAATCAATCCCGTCTGAGGAATGCGTCTCTCAATCGACTTCCATTCAGAATCGTTGTGGCATTTTGAATGTGTGGTGGCCGATACAATGACCACCGACTGAAGCACAGCCAATGTTACGCCCGTATTTCTGTCTTTCCAGACGAGCCTTGTGCCAATTAACGAAACCCGGGTGAGAAGAAAGTCTGATCGGCCTGGGTGAAATGCAAGGCCATTGCGAGATTCGAACCTGCGTCATACATATGACCGTTCCATAGCCTGAAGCTCCAAATATTTTATATTTCAGTTATATACGAGGAACTCCACAGGCCATTTATTCCAGCACAAATTACCAGATTGTGAACACAACTGCCCGCTGGATCGGTTTATAACTGAGCTACGACCTATGCGCCTTACTGTTCAGGACTTTGAACTGGTAAATGAATTTTCCTATTCAAAATTTTCATTTTGATTCTAGAAATTCAAAAAAATCATTCCACCATTGGTCCGATTCCTCAGCCCTCCTCACCAGAACCCATCTAGGGTGGAACACAAAAATCAGAAAAAAAACTCCTCATCTTGGTGACTCACTTAATTGTTTGAATCGGGTAAGCACCACGAATTGTACTACTGAAGAAATGAAGGGCCGTTCTGACGGAGCAAATTTCCCATCCCAACGATTCACCCTGCTTTGTCCTGCCGTGACTCTCTGCTGCTTCATCTGTTTGTGGCCAATAAATCTCTATATTTCTCTGATATTTTCTTTGGATTTTCTACGTTTTCATCTTACCCTCATCCCTTCTAAATTTCATCACTTCATCTAATTTGGGATCCATCAGAATATTTAAAATTAATTAGGCCACATGTATTTACTGTACGATCATAACAAATAACAGTTCCAGAAACTCACTTTTTCAGATGTGTAAAAGTGCTCCGCGATCGTCCTCCTACGATGGCAGAGTCACTCTCACTATAATTACCTTTCTGACGATTTTAATTACAGTCATGTGAATAATATAAAATAATTAACTAGACATTGTATGTAAATACGGTACACTTTAAAATATGATCAAATAAAGCAAAGATGAATGAATATTGATAAAAGTTGTGAATAAAGATGGCTTCTTCTCTAACCGTATTCAAAGCTAAAGCTGGTTATCATTCAAAGAGAACAACAACAAACATGAATTAAACAAATAAAGGATCTAGCTCATTGTAATAAACACTGTGACGATACTAAACTGTAATGTTGTCCAAGAAATTTCATGGTTTTGGTGAATTTGAAAGTGTCCGGTTTACTGACGTTCTTCCAGTTCCAAGAATGCTAACTTCGTTTTTTGAATCTCACCCTTAAGAGTTAGCGAGTAGGAGCTCTATCACGGATTGATCCTACCTACAATTACCCGCCGCCCAGTCGGAGTTTTTGCAAAACATGCTTAATCAAGCCCTTATAGACTGGTATTCTTTATTGTTCACATACATTTATATGGTGGCGTGGGAGAAGGTGGTATAGCGGCAAGTGTAGCCCTATCACTCATGCACGGTCACGGGTTCGAATACTGGGTCGTTATCTAGGCCAACCAAAAATTCCAATCCTCTCAGGTTGAGTAATTGGTTCGAGTCTCTTCTAAAAGGGTAAAAACACTGACTGGTATATCGGCGATATACATATCTACGAGTGAAAAACAATATTTCTCCAAAAGAAAAAGGAGATGTACGGTGAGGGCCGTACCTAAAGTCAGGAAATTTGGCCGTGTTAGAGTCAAAGAGCTTTTCATGTCATTTGATTCATTCACACTTGTGGTCTCCGGCAGGTTACAGATAAAGCTGCTTCTTTCCGGAGACCCTAGCGGTCAATTAGAAAGTGCTGATGAGGATGGAGGGTAAAAACCGAGTAGGAGTCAGAATCTGAGAGATGGGTAGGCTCAGAGGAAGTGGGTTGATGTTTTTAAAACTTTTTTCAAGCTCGATAAAAGAATTAAGATTTCCTATCGTCATATTTGAACTATCTTGTCAACAACTAATTGTATACATCTTTTCGGGGGTAATGTAGTAGCCCTATCATACGTGCATGGTTACGGATTCGGATCCGATTTCAGCCCCAGATCGCCACGGTTTCCTTTGTAAGGCTAAATCCGTGCCATGTCTGTAGTGATCGCCCGCTAGCTTGACTATCCAGCAATACTGAACATCTATAAAAACTAGTAACAAAACAATATTGTTTACTACACAGCGAGAAACTCTATACTTTATAATACTCGCAATGATCATGACTGCTTTACCATTCCGTAGATTCTAGGAAGTATTGAGCTATGAACAGTAGGACCTAACAAAATAACAACAAATACAATCTAACAAATATACGTATTACTAATT